AGCAGAAGATGACATGGTAGTTGCAAGACAGATGTGGCTACAGGTGCTGATCACGCAGTGCCATGCAGAAGCCCCGGCTACAGAGCGTCTCCTCAGTAATGGTTACACACAGAGAGTCTTGTGGACCCCTCCATAGATATCGAATCAAACGACGAGTTTTCTATGAAGATGATGATATTTTTACTTAAAGATATTGTGCTTAAGACCTCCTTGTAAGAATGCTGATGGATTTCTGGGTTATTGTCTGTCTGCCAGTTGTAACTTTACTGGTGGGTGGTTCAGGTTCTTTGCTCACCATAGTCTTCTGCCAAGGTAGAATTTACCCAGCTTTCTATATCTTTATGATATTATGATATAATGGTTTGAAACTGCGACCATTCTAATGGGACACAATGTGAACGATATTTACATTAACACCAGACAATGTTTCTCAATCAGGGGTGAGGGCTTGATGACTGGTGAGTTAGCGAGGGTTTGCCTGTGGGCTCTATCTCACACTGCGGGGTGTTGAGGAACAATGGCTGATGATTGCCCTGATATCTTGAGCTCAGCCTTGTCGGAGCTGAGCTGACGGCTTTCCCCTGGGGCCCTGAGGGGCCAGCGGCCTTACAAGGCGCTGGAGTTATTAGGTTCTTTTCTTTTTTTGCTCGCATTAGTAGCCCCAGTGCTCTGGGACCTCTGGCTTTCCATATTCTGTGTTCTGCCAGGAGACCGTGACACTCTGCAAAGCCACCAATCAGCAAGGCACCGCATCTGCTAAGATGCTTGTGGGATTGAACAAGGACATTGGCTGTCTGGGCATCCCTGAAGAGAGGGTCCAACCAGCTTTGGGGCTGAGGGGACAGGGGAGGGTGTGAATGGGGCTCCATGCAGGAGTCAGCGGGGTGTGGGGTCTCTGGAGGGGACAGGGGAGGGTGTAAATGGGGCTCCCTGCAGGAGTCAGCGGGGTGTGGGGTCTCTGGAGGGGACAGGGGATGGTGTGAATGGGGCTCCCTGCAGGAGTCAGCGGGGTGTGAGGTCTCTGGAGGGGATAGGGGAGGGGGTAGCAGGGCTCACTGTAGGAGTCAGTAGGGTGTGGGGTCTCTGGAGAGTGTGTGCGGCAGGTGGGGTGGGTGGCTCATGGGGACAGAATCTGGCCACCGTTCAGTGTGACTCTGCTGTCACGGCGCTTTAATTATCACAGCAGCGGGAACTTTAATTAAAAATGTTTCCCCTGAACAGCCAACGGGCTCATAATTAAAGCTTTGCAAACCATACATTGGTCTCGCTGAGCCTTGCTTTAATGGTTTAATGAACAAGATGTGAGCTTATGCCGGTGTGAGCATTATAAAAGCAGAGTGGGGGAGATTGGCAAAGTCGTCCCACTGTGTCACTTTGATGAAAAATAAAAATTGTTCCATTTGGTTTAGTGTCGCGCTGCCTTTTATGTACTGGAAGTCTTCCTCTGCTCTGCTCGAATCAAAATATTTACTAGGCTACTTTATTTCTGCGTTTGATTTGCTGTCCATATATAACTAAGGTGGACAACAGTCACAGATAAGCAGTCAAGCCTGGAGTAGCCTAATGGAATCTTACTGGCTGGATATTAAAGACATCTTTCCTCTATTAACCTCCAATCAAGCAGTATATTGCCACTGATACTGTGATTAACCTCTTTTGGTCTCTTTTAAGCGGCAGCAAATTGTCTGAAGAAATGCCCTGGATTGCGTTTCGCTCCCATTGGATGCCCCACCGCTAGCAGCACACAGGCCACACCTAGCGGGGGCTCGCTTTATTCTCAGCATGCTCTGACCTCGGCCATGTCGGTGCTCCTGAAACATTTATGCCACGGGGGAAGCGGAGAGCGAGCTGGGGGGGTGGGGTGATCTGTGTTTGGGTCCTGAACGGGTGAAGAACCGGTTCTGAAGCACATCAAACTGATCGTCTGTGCAGTGGGGGTGGGGGAGCGTGGGGGTGGCCAAGCCCTAACCCTGAGCCACTTACAGGCCCCACATTTCACTTGACAAATTAAGCAGAGACTCAGAGACGTACGTACTGCTTTTCCACAGAACCTCAGACAGGAAGCTGCCATAACACTATTTAAAGCACAAGGGGACACCTCACAGCATCATATGGAAGCTTCTTCAGCCAAAATCCCTATAATAACTACACACCCAAACTCAGCCCAGCAGCAAACTTCAAAAGAAAATAGCATTGGCTCTAAAATAAAATTAAACTGACTGAAAAACAGGAGATTACTTAAAAAAGATTTCTCCTCCCTCTTTTTTCTTTCATTTCTTTCTTACCCCATGATATTCTTTTGGTTTCTTTATGCTCCTCCTTTTCTTCTTCTTTTCAATTAAAAGAACACACGAAAGATTCCTTTGTGAAAAGCAAAGTACAACCAATAAGTGATACTAAAACTCAAAGGTCTGGACACTTTAAACAAAAAAACCAAAACGCCCACAAAACTGAAAATCAAATTAAATAATATCAACACATGTAATCACACAATAGCAGAGAAGACAACTGGCTATGCAACTTACTCATGATAACATTTCTGTGTAAGTAAAACTCCCACAAGCGTAAGGCTTCTCCATTTCCAAATGAAATAAACTAAAGTTAGCAGACATATTCCCTCCACCCTTGGGAGCTCATTTCAATGTTAATACACTCTAGCCCTGTTCCCTAACCCCCCAGCCCTGTTCCCTAACCCCCCAGCCCTGTTCCCTAACCCTCCACCCTGTCCCCTGACCCTTCAGCCATGTCTCCTAACCCTCCACCCTGCCCCCTGACCTTCAAGGCCTGCCCCCTAACCCTCCACCCTGTCCCCTGACCTTCAAGGCCTGCCCCCTAACCCTCCACCCTGTCCCCTGACCTTCAAGGCCTGCCCCCTAACCCTCCACCCTGCCCCCTGACCTTCAAGGCCTGCCCCCTAACCCTCCACCCTGCCCCCTGACCTTCAAGGCCTGCCCCCTAACCCTCCAGCTGGCCTCTTGGCTCTTGTATCTCAGTGCTTTTCTTTTCCTGCCCACAGGTGCAGGTGGGCACCTCTTCTCAGGGGCAGAGAGTCATCGGCTATATCACTTGCACTCATCTGCACTCTTTGGAAGGTAAGACAGCACCGTGTGTGTCAGCGAGCCTGCATCTGGGTGTCTGTGTGTCTGCATGACTCCGTGTCTGTATGTCTGGGTGTCTGTGTGTCTGTCTGTCGGTGTGCTTGCATGGCTGCCTGTCTGTATGTCTGTCTGTCTGTGTGTCTGTCTGCCTGTGTGTCTGTGTGTCTGTCTGTCGGTGTGCTTGCATGGCTGCCTGTCTGTATGTCTGTCTGTCTGTGTGTCTGTGTGTCTGTCTGCCTGTGTGTCTGTGTGTCTGCATGACTCCGTGTCTGTATGTCTGGGTGTCTGTCTGTCTGTGTGTCTGTCTGTCTGTGTGTATGACTGTCTGTGTGTCTGTCTGTCTGTGTATGTTTCTGCCTGTGTATCCATGTGTCCGTGTGTTTCTCATCATCCCTCTGAAGATATCTACTCCTGAACAACAGATACCTACTTTTACCAGAAACCATTTAGTCTGTCATGCATTATTATGCTATGAACTATTTTTGGTTCTTATTTTCACAATAATAAACATGATACAATAATATGATAATATGAGCAGCCAACTCCCCCCCCCCACTCCTCCAAGACCACCTCTCATATGATTTTACATATAAACCAATCACAGCTATAATTATGAGTGTCTGTATGTCTAAAACATATAAATAATGCCCTCAGATTTATTAGTGTCATTCAAAAACATTACAGAGGAAGAAGCATCATTTTTTCTTAGCGTGTGAGCCTGCATGTCTGTGTGTGTGTGTGTGTGTGTGTGTGTCTGTGCATCTGGGTGAACTGAGAATCTGTGTCTGAATATTTGCATGAGATGGAACAGGTTCCACCCCGCCCAGCCAATCCACGACACCCGCGTCGCTGAGCACCACGCTCCTCTGTTCCCATGGCGATTGGCACAAGCTATTTTTAAGCTGTGCCTCTATTTAGAGGGCCGAGTCTTTTAACAAGACCAATCTGCCTTCTATTTTGGGAGGCTCCTAAGCAGTGAACCGCCTGCTCCAGGCCACATTTAGAACAGCTGCTATTTTTGAAGAAGCCATGGAGGGAGATGCAGAAATCAATCTTACACGGCGCTCTCTGCATCGTTAGGGGTCGGATCGCAGGTGCCCCTCTGCTGTGATCTCCGTGTCCGCCACGAGATCTGCCCAAAACTGTTGCCTCCAGATGGGATCGCGTGCACGGCAGAGAGTGTGTTTGTTTACACAAAGGTGTCTCCTGTATTGCGCCCGTGTGGCTCAGTGTTTGCATGTCTGTGTCTCCCAGATGTTACGGCTTATCGCCTTTCATCTATCCGAGTGTGCGGTGACCTACTTACCAGCACAGCTCTTGACTGCTGGACACTGACAGCCGGGGGGGTTGGGGGCAAGGTCCGTCTGCAAGTAAGAGGGGTGGCTCTACCTGTGATAGACTGAGCGCATGGCGTAAAATGCACTGCTGGGCTTCTGTGTCTAAATACGCCTTTGTGCGTTTTTAAGCCAGTGGGACTTTTGATTGACTACTCTGCCATCTGACGGCTGATTTATGAATTGTGGATCACCAAGTTTGCGCAGTCTCTCTGGACTGGGCCTGCCACCCTCACTGAGGGGATCTGCAGAGAAGCCCGCGGACTCAAACCTCAAACCCTAAGTAATAATAAGGATACTTTACTGACCATCATACACTCACATCTACCCCTCCATGGTGAAGGGGTTTGTATATGCCAAAGATCCTAGGAGATATCTTGTCGGGGGCAGTTCCATTTGGAGCCAGGTGTGTGTGTGGGGGGGCTCTTCGGCAAGTACCTGAGGGTTGGACCTTCACAGCCCAAATGACCCACATGGGATTGTTCTCCTGTGGATCCAATACCTGCAGGAGGAACCATAACGGTCCAGTGCAACCCAGACCGATTTTCAACTGATTTTTACCAAAGTTGTCTTTAGGACATGGAATATGACCTTTCTCGTGTGAAAGGAGCCTGGGCTGATGCAGGATCTGGAACCAAACTCCTGGAGAGGGGTTGGACTCTATTCCACTCTGGAGTTGCCCTAGGTGAGAGGCGTTGGGCGAGTGTGGATTTACTTATAGTCCTCCAGTTTGGCTCTTGGCACTTTTGGAGTTCACTATGGGGAAAAAGAGGGTTGCCTCCCTTCAACTTCGAACTGGAGGATGGGCTCTAACTGTCTGTGCTTATGTACTGAACACCAGTTCACAGTATCTGGCCTACTTGGAAGCCTTGGATGGGATGCTGGAAGGTGTTCTGTCTGGGAACTCCATTGTTCTACTAGGGGACTCGTGTGCAGTTGGCCTGAACTGAACCTGAGCGCTCTCTTAATGGACTTCTGTGCTAACCACAGTTTGTCCATAAGGAACACCTTGTTTGAGCATAAGGGTGTTCATAAGTGCATCTGGCACCAAAGCACCCTAGGACACAGTTCGATGATTGAGTTTGTGTGGGTGAGAGGGTGTGTTCCAACTTCAAGGGAATCACGCTCCTCAGCCTCCCTAGGAAGACCTATGCCAGGGTACGAGAGATTACTATCCTATATCATACACACATGAAGAGAAAAGGGTCTGCATTTTTCCTGCACCCCAGAATAGTTTTCGGGGCTAAAGGCCTTGCTCAAATACCTACAGTAACAGTGATATGGTTACTTTGCTGTCCATGGGATTAAAATCAGTGACCTTGTGGACACAGGCATAAGCTCCTGAGCCCCAACATGTGCCCTTGTAGTCAGATTTTTTCCTTTCTTTCGGTTTATTTCCTGTTTCTCAGTAGGCTTTACACTGAGCAGGTTAAATGACCTTGTGGCCAATCACCTTCTGGGCTAACAGACTATGTAAAAGGGACTCAACCACTATCTGGTTAAAAAATTGTCTAAATAAACCTCAACTTTCATGCCCTCAAAGTGTTTTATTTACTTTCTGATGCTGTTCCCCATTCATCAAACCTCTGATTACAGTAGATTAGGTCATATGTGATATTTTTCACAAAAGTTGACAAAACAGATTTAAATTGATATCTGAGGAAACTGAGCTCTTAGAAAATTACGGAAAGTTAAAGCAATCGAGATTAATATCAGATGAAATTAGTGAGGTTGCCACACTGGGGGATTAATATTCTGAGCCTGGGCCTCAGCACAATTTTTTGATTAAAAATGCTGCCCTCTCCAGACAAAAAGCAGAGCTAACTCTATTTGCAGCCTTTGTGGCGCAAGTTCAAGATTCACAGACTAAATTGTGAACCCAGACTCGCACCCTGAAGTCTTGCAAAACACCACAAGGACTTAAGGGCTTTAAGGTGTATCTGAAAATGAAATGCAGCCACCATTTAATGAAACTAAGTCTGCATGTTCATTAACAGCAACCTCACCCAGTGGGTACATAATGTTTCTTTAGTGAAGCCTTTATTGTATTATGTCGCCTGGTTGTTGTTGTTGTGCATGATCACATGATTCAGTATGCTATGTGAGATCCTCATTTGGCTCTGGGAAAGGTTTGTATTCACACTCCAAAGGGATCTGGGTGTACATGAAACAAGAGGCAGCTGAACGTCCATGTCATCAGAACAGGGCAGAGTTAAAGGAAATCATGGTTCCCTGAGCTCCTCCGTGGCCTCAGGCACTCCAGCTGACAGGCCTCCAGGGCTCAGTGTGGGTGGAACTTGGATCTCTAACTGCCAGGTACGCAGCTTGCATGTCTTAGAAGGCAGGGCTGTAGGGACTGAACAAGTTCAGCCAATAAACAAAGAGGAACCAAAACTAAATCAGAAATCAAAAATCAGAACCAGAATCTGAATGCCAGACAGCCAAGTCAGGAGGGGCGTGGCCATGGGGAGAAGCTACATAACCTGAGGGTTCTGCATAATAAGTGGATGGATTCCTCTGATAAAAGGACACACGGATGGAGACAGATTGCATTGTAAGCAGCCATGGTTAACTTAGTTACAAGCACATTACACCCCTTTTTCTACAGCCCACCCAACATCTTCTTATCACAGGGTAACATGATGGATTTTAACCAACAGGAATTAAAGGAACTCTACTCTTTTACAAAACCTATTTTAACCATAGAAAACAGATTTGGCACGCCTGAACCATTAAAATCACAGTATAATTGTTTTGAACAGTTTGAATTATTTCATTATACAACAAAATGAATTAATTATTAACTTCAAGAAAAGTGTAAAACATACTTTTACACAGCTATATGGATCGATGGATGAATGATAGATGGATGTGTGGACTGATGAACTAATGGACTGATGGAGATATGCTGTGCTGCTTTTGTAATAATTTTATTGACTTGATGTAGATAGGAGACCACATAGGGAATTATATTACCAGCTGCATTTAAACAGATAGTATTACCGCTTGCATTTAGTGCTTTAACTGTGGAGATCCATTAATAATTTACTTTCACTAAACTGGCCAATTATCTCATTCTGCATTTGCTAAACAAACTTCAATTCTGTTATGGGTGTGTTGTCTGGAACTCCTTCCTTCCCTACTTTCTGTCTCTCTCACTCTGCCTCTCCCTTTATCAGCAAGTGCAGTCAAAATGCTCTGTTCAGTATGAAGAAGCAATTAAGGAGCTGGTTTGGTCGCCAGTGAATTACAGGCTCATTCCTGAGGCAGCAAAGCACTCCATTAAACCTCAACTTGATGACTGTTTGGATGTAATTAACTTAGGCTTTTGCCAGATGAGATATGATCTGCATATCCGTGGTCTATTTGATTCCTAGTACCAAACTTTGGAGATTGAGAAGAGCACTGTGGCTCTTTAGGGACCTGTGTCCGGAAGCACGTTCTGACAGATCTATGGGGAACTGAGTCCTGACAGCCTCCAGATTTGTGCCGCATACATTTTTAATTACTCTCACTTGACACACTAACATTTTTAGGGGAAAAAAGGCAAGACAGTAAATAATTGGTGAGAGGAAAAAGAAATACTTGCCAGTCTGGCTGTCCCCTGCCTTATGGCCTGTGGTGTCTTAGATGGGCTCCAGGCATCCGGAGACTCTGGACTGGATAAGCATGTGGAAGGTGGATGTATAAAATCAGAAAAAAAACATTGAAAACTGTTGGACGTGGTGGAAGTTTAAAGGAGGGTGCAGATTTACCCTCTGTCACCTGCTTATGGTTCAGCACTTTAAAGCTGGGACAGTAAGCCAGCCAGTGAGCACTGATACATAGACCTTACTGTTTTGTGAGAAATGGCCACATAATACCAGTAGAGGGCGTCAAAATCACACATAGTGCTTTTTATCCTTTTTTTTTTTTAATTTTTCACTATTTAACTAGCAGAAGTTGTCTTAGCTCCTATATTTTGGTATCTCTTATTAGAGATAAAACTGAATTCATTAGTCCTGGGTCCTGTGTGAGAAACTGATCTTAATTTAAATTAATTCTCATGTAATGTGTCCTGCAACCCTCCCTGGGGGGCAGAGTGGGGAGCAGCACACCTTCAGGACTGCGGGTTCAAATCCCAGGCGTGCGTCTGGAGTCTGTGTATTCCCTCTGTGTTGTGCTGGTTTCCTTCTGCAGTCTAAAATATGTCTTTGGGCTTGCGGTGCCTCTAAATTGCCCTTTTTGCATGTGCCCAGTGATGGACTGACATCCAGTCCAGGCTGTAGCCCTGCCTTGTGGCCTGGGCTGCCTGGGATGGGCTCCGAATGGATGGATGGATGGATGCTCCTCACTCTCAGGATGTCATTTGGATTACCTTATGACTTCAGAGATAGTTTGTGCTCATTGGAGCTCTTCTCTCTATTAGCTTGTTGGCATGTTAGGGTGTACTGTATGTTACAGGATGTGCATGAAAAGCCTCCCTCCCATCTCGCAGGAGATGCCTCAGTACGCTGTGAACAGCTGGATTTCCTCCTTGAGTGGGGAGCAGAGTTCCGGAAAGCCACATCTGGCCCAGCTCAGGATAAGGGCCTGGAGGACCAGGTGGCTTTCGACGTCATTCTGGGGGACCTGAACTTCGACAACTGCTCCTCAGGTACCAGACCATGTAATGGGCAACGGCGAGCCACACTGTCTGAGGAGAGATCCTTGGTTGGAGAGATCAGTGTTTGTGGAATATGGTGAAATATTGTGGAATAAATGTGGGAAAGGTGATTGTTGTAGGACATGTTGTATACCAGTTTAGACCCTTGGCGTTAGTTGATCTAAGGTGTGCAGACCCTGTGCTTATAACACAGCGTTTATGCAGGCCATAGGGGTCAAAGTTCATGTGAGCTGACTGAGGTAGGCCCTGGTCCTGAAGTGTCCTGTTTATACACCTTCCTCCACTCAGAGGACAAGCTGGAGCAGCAGCATACGCTGTTCACGCATTACAAGGACCCCTGTCGCACAGGACCAGGCGAGGACAAGTCTTGGGCTCTAGGTGAGTGTAACAGGGGGGTGAGCCGGGTCAGCCTGGCGGGGTGAACGGTGACAGAGAACACGCTGCCAGACACTCTGTGCACCAGTGAGCGCATGTCTGCACCAGCAATGCCAGCGATGCACACACCTGCTTCTCTGTACATTTTGTACATGTCTCTGTACATCTTTATTTATTTCTAAAACTTTGGTTGTGTGTATAGACAACTGACCTACAGGTACCTGCTCTTGTTGTTCTACATTATTTTTGTATAAGAGCTCTGTAACACCTAAATTTCTCATTCATGGGATAATAAAGGTTTATTCTATTCTATTCTTGTTGGGATTTCATTGTGCTTCGCGAAGCTCAGGTATGGTGATGTGTCTCTACTGGCAGGTACACTGTTGGACACCAGTGGACTGTATGATGAGGAAGTGAGCTCACCAGAAGGTCTCCAGAAGTGAGTCTGACACATGAGTATATACATCCATATACAGATACTGACAGGATGCCTATATACTTAAACATACAGATACTGACAGGAAACTTCTAAACTTACACATACAGATACTCATAGGAAACCTAAACAATTGAACACTTGTGCACATAGATGCATGAAACACTCAGAGGAGTGAATGTAATTGCACATATACTCTTAGGATATGAGTAAACATTTATACTCAGATACTTGTAGGAGACTCAATTAAGTATGTATATTATAACTGAATATATAATCGGTGATTGAAAAGTCATTTACACACATCCTTATTCTTTTAATATCCAGCCCATCATCGTTCCTTATTGTTTTTTTTAAGGGTGATGGAGAATGAAGATTTGAGAAAAGAATACTTAGTGTATCCCATTAGCAAGAACCAGTGTCCCAGGCAGAAGGGCCAAAAGATTCCGCTGAAAGGCAATGGAAGGCGGATCGACTACATCCTGTACAGTGACGAGGGATTGCAACCAGACTGGAAAGTGGTACGTTCCCATTACAGAGTGATACGACACAGTTTCCTCCTGACATTTTTATATGGGGAAGTTAGTTTAAGTGTGGGTGTAAGTACACTCTACACCAACATGATGCATGTCGCTACAGACAGATGTGGCAGATATTTCTGCTTTCGTATGAAACTAGCATTATGAAAAACCACTGTTCTCAAAGGATTAAGTGTATAATTCACTATATGAGGGTTTCACTTGTGAATGTGGCGGGCTGAGTGCACGCGAGTGTGAAGTCAGCTTGTATTCATATTGAGGTTTCTTCCTTAACCTCCTGAGACCCAAGGAAAAAAAGTGTCCTTCAATCTTACGTTTTTTGTCTTCGGAGGAAATAAGACATCTTACAATTTAGATTTTTTAAAATATCTTTTTATTTCTAATTTCACAGCATGTTCGCTTTAGTGTACAACAGGAATAAATATGTTTCCTTACATGGACATAAATGAATGGGTGGGGTCTCAGGAGGTTACAGTGAAAAGAAACAATACATTTACTCGATATAGCAATGACAATGGTGTGAAGTGGCTTGTAGGAGTGTTCTAGTAGAGCTGTGGAGCAGATGTATCTACAGGTGGAGATAGAATCTCATGATCAGATTTGGTTTACAATCAGAATCAGGTTTACTGGCCAAGTTCACACTAGGGTTGATTACTGAATCCTGGTGCCGGTACGATTGGTACAGTATGTACCGGATCGTACTACAATACAGATTTTGGAGTCTCTTTTTGATGGCACTTAAGTGCCTGAGTAGATTGAAATATTTGCCCTCTGGTGCTCAGGCAACAGAAGCATCACCGTACCTCACGTGTCATCGCTAGTTAATGTTACATTAGCCCTGATGTCAGCAGATGCCTACAGTTAGCTAGTAGCTACCTTAAAAATGGTTAAAATGGCTAAATCTAAACAGTCAAAAGGATTCCGACACCAGGACATTGTTATGTAAATTTGTCGCGTGTTTTTTATTTATAAGTATTTATATATTTAACCCGGGGGTGGAGCGATGGTTAGCATTGTTGCTTCACACCTCTGGGACCAGGGTTCAAGTCTCCACTAGGGTGCCATGTGTGTGGAGTTTGCGTGTTCTCCCTGTGTCATTCTGGGCTTTCCTCTGGGTACTCTGGGTTTTCCCCCACAGTCCAAAAACAGGCTGAGGTTGATCGGAGTTGCCAAATTGCCCATAGGTGTGAGTGTGCCCTGTGATGGGTTGGCACGCTAGCCTGGGTTGTTCCCTTCCTTGCACCTGTAGCCTTTGGGATAGACTCCAGAGCCCCCGCAACCCTGAATAGGACAAGCAGTTCCAGAAAATGGATGGAGGGCAGTGTGTGGCTCAGGTACCTAAGCCTCTGCGCCTGTGATCTGATGGTCACTGGTTGAAGCCTGGCCTTCAGACATCTGCGTGTCCTACAGCAAAGTATCTTCATGGGCACTGCTATGGGTGGCTGCCCTTTGCAGCCAGCTTGCTCTCACTCATGGACAGCAAGTTGGGGGGGGCATAAGGAAAATATTCCCACAGCGATCAATAAAAGTATCCATTATTATTATGGATGGATATTTAACCCTTGTGTACATACCACCAGCCATCGTGTTTACAGCTCTCTTGGGGTCATGTGATTCAGTGTGGAGGCTAGTCCAGGGTCACGTGCTTTTCATCCGCAACAATTTACTACCACATTTATGCCAAAGTAGCTTAAAAATTGGTCATTTATTTGCCAAAAAAGTAAAGTGTCGCTAGTGACCCGAAAACGCTTTTTAAGTTTTGAGTTTGTAAACTGCACTCGAACAAAAACGTGCTTTCTTCTCCATTATTTCATTGTTGGAGGTGTAAATGTATATGGAGTTGGTACTGTATATATACAGCTCAGGAAAAAATTAAGAGATCACTCCACATTTTTAAAAAAATCTGCATTCTTGTATCCTAGTTTAATGCTGGTTCGGCTGGCAGAAGGTGACACTGAGCGGCAGGTTGCTTGCAGGCTGAAAATTTCTGAGACAGCAGCACACATAGTGAATAAGGTGAAGCAAGAGACACTGGGAACGTGGAAGTCACTTCTAATGCCAGAGATGACCGTTAACTTATCTGTCAGTGCTTCATGAATTGGAGGATGACATTAAGTGCCCTTCAATAAGAATGGGAAACATTAAGTGGTGTGAGGTGCACTGCTAGGACAGTTCGTATCAGGTTCCTAGAAGCAGGACAAAAGTCCTATAAAGCAAAGAGGAAGCCCTTCATTAATGAGAAATATGAAAGAGCCAGGCTGAAGTTTGCAAAAAAAATATTTTACACAGACGGATACTCTGAAATTGATAAATGAGTGAAACTGAAAATTTGCTGTGGTTTCTTCATTTTTTCCAGAGCTGTATGTATGAAGGAGGAATAAATGTGTATGGAGGAGGTATATATGTGTATGAGGTATATTTATGTACGGAGAAGGTATGTATATGCATGGGCGGGTATATATGTATATGGAGGTGTATAGACTATTGGAGTAGGCATACTGTCTGTGTGTGAGTGTGTGTGTAAATATATACATTCAGTATATATATATATATATACAGTATATATACTGTACACTGTATGAATCCTAGTGGAATTTCAGATCTCTGATGGTTTGTATGATTTCTACAGGATGTGGAGGAGTTCAGCTTCATCACGCAGTTGGCGGGACTCACGGACCACCTGTCTGTGGCCATGCGGCTGGCAGTATCCACTGGGGAGGAGGAGCCATATGCATAGGCCACACCCCCAGGGCTAGCCCTCCCTGACATCACCACAGAGACATATCCAGAGTACAGAGGACTGAGAGCCAGTGTTGGGGGCAAAGGCAGGCTCAGATGGGCTTCTGTACATATCAGCAGGATCTCCATGCTATGAAAGACACGATCAGCTGACCCCCCCCAAACCCCCCCAAACTGCGTGCCATTCCTACTGGCAGTAAAGCACGGCCCCTCTGCTCTGGCTAGCGGGGATGCTGCTGGCTGTAGCTCACATCTCATATCTTCTCCTGTTCCTTCATGAATTCCTCTCTTCTTTTAAAAAGCACTTAAATACGGACATATTTCCTGAACTGCATCACTTTTCCCAATTATTTGTAGTTTTAAAGTTTTAATGGAGTAGCCTGTGTTTTTTAAGCCTGGGCGTGACTGATCCCGAGACTCCCGTCACCTCCTTCTGTGAGGAGCTGAACCGGCTGCGTTCGCATGTTTGCCCTCATGTCTGTGAGGAGGTGTGTGCTTCTTCTCTCTCAAACCCAGATTCTGGCTCAGCCCTGACCCCGTCCTCAAATAACCTTAACAGAAGTGTCTTTTTTCTAAAGTCTTTCTAAAGGTTTCTACTGCCACTTTGCCATCTTTCTAGAATGTTTCTATAAACAGGCACTATATGAAGGCATTATTATATACACACTTAGTGGAATGCTGCATGCTGGGATCATTCCAAAGAGGCAGAGCCATAATTTTGAAGCATCTGGTTGGCTGTTTGCCAGTGTACGTTTCCACAGGATTGGTGGAGAGTTGCAGTGGATTGTCATGGAGGAAGCATTTATATCTCTGGTATGGCGCTGACCCTTAAAATGGGTCTCTTCATGCAAGGGAGCCATTTTCCTGGTCAACATTCAGGTCTCTATGTTGACATGCATGTCCTTTCCACGATGCTGCCATGCCCCCCCGACATAGGACCGACCACACCAGTGTTATCACACCCATTTCCTGTCCTGATCTCTCTGGTGACACCTGAGAAGAAGCTGCCCTCCTGCCCACTGCTGATGCAGTATTAATGCTGTGGTCACTTCAGACCAAACAGGAGCGAATGTTTACATGCCATATAACTGTCATATATATCAGGCCACAATGATAAATTTAATACGATGATCCCCCACTTGGGACTTTTTGTCACATTTGAACATCAGTTTTTTTATTGAAATTGCCTCTATTATTATTATTATTATTATTATTATTATTATTATTATTATTAGTGTTGATGTTGTTGTTGTTGTTGTTACTGTTGCTGTTGGTGTTGTAGGTAACAGGCATCACGTTTACCACAAGTCCCCAGAATGAGGTGTTCCCCAGGACCTGCTCCTCTGTTGGGGGGGGGGTGGGGATTTTGTGGGGTTCTTCTGCACAGCCCTGACACCCAGCTGGTCCCACCTAAGGGCCAATCTGGGCACAGGGCAGGGGTGCGGCCTGCTTCAGGGCGAGCCCGTCCCCTGAATGGCTGTAGTTGCATGCTTCTAGTCCCTGCCGCATCGCCCGCCTCACATCCCCCTTTTATTTTCCTTGCTGTTAATTTATTTTTCATTATTTTATTTTTGTGGCGATAGAGAGCCATCGATTCGCGCCGTTTCTGAATCAGGTGGTGGAAAAGCTTTACTCTCTCTTCTAATGCTTGTCTCACACTCATACATTCTGCTTTTTTAAAAAAAAAAATATTCCCTCCTAATCATTAAGTCCCTGTGTTTTGTGAGTGCCTTGCCTTCTTTCGTTTCAACTGGGTTTTATTCTCTCTGTTTCCTGAGGAATTCACCATATTAACCAGCTTTATTACTCAGCATAAAGGTCAGACGCTGCTGCCATTTGGAATTGCAGAAGTGAGGGATTGTGTGTATCTGTTTTCTGAACTAAGCCACCTGCCCAGGTTCTCTGTGTGAGCTGCTTAACACCTGACAGATAACATAATGTTTGGTTATTTTACCCTCATCGTCCCTGATGCACAGGTTTTACCATACTTACTTCTAGGCAATATAGATTTTTTTTAATTATTCCCCATAGGACCTACAGGAAATATATATTAGTAAATGAACTACATATGACATATAATGGGTTTTGTGTGATGTATGTTTTATGACAGTCCAATAGGAAAGCATACAGGGTTATTATGGACAGTCATTCTAGGTCCTGGGTCAGAACCTGATTTCAGTCCATATCAGGTGCAAAGGATACAGTCAGCCTGTTTACATACTAGCTTCTTTCTCTTCAGTCATAGGCTTCCTTATTTCAGACCTGGTCAGGGTCCTCCAAAAAATTCCACTAGAAATATCACTAGAATTTCAGCAGCAGACTCACCCTGAAGTGACTTAGCTATTTCCCCTGTATTTCTAGTGTAATCAGTACTTAGTAAATCCCGGTGTCTGTATGTGCTTGTTCATGCAGTTTGGAGTACAGTACTCAAAAAACCAAATGTTTTCATTTGTCAGCAGAACTGTGTTTCTGTGCTCATGGAAGTTTTCCCCTGGCAAGTTGTTTCCTCATTGAAGTCTTCATAATGAGGAAGTGAAGTCATGTGACCTGTTTCATCACATCAGGAAGGTCACTGCCTCGGCTGAGGTCTGTGGTTCCACTGCGTGTGTAAACTCGCTCGTCACTTCAGCGTCGTCTTTTCGAAAGTAGATGGAACAATTGTGCTCGTCATTTTATTATTTTTGCAGGCACATCGACGATCTTCCAGTTCAGGCTGTGCAGTTCCCTTTTCAAAACCACTTCTCCCACTGCACATGCCTAAAGGCAATCCCAGGATTCACAGTGCACAAGTCAGGGGACATCCTGGATGAGATGCCCCTCCACACACAATTTCACCCTTTGTACAATTTAGAGCCACCACTTTATAGCAGGGAAGAACCCTGAGTTACCAGAGGAAATGTACGCAAGGACAGGGAGATCTTGGAAATTCCACAAAGCGCCATGCAGGAGGCAAATGGCCAAGCGATATCGTCTAATGGTCAATACTGTGCTCATCTCACCTGAATTACTTCCTAAGAACCTTACAGACCATGAGTGCGCCCCATAAAATGTGCCATAATCTTTTTATCACGGTCTCCTGGCATGCTGGTAGAAACGAGTGCAGAGGAATCTTCAGCATTATCAGTTACATCTGACTGCCAGTTGAAAAACCCATTAGAGATATAGACCCTGCAATGGCCCATCCGCCCATCTGTGTCTCTCCCAACTGGTACAAGGCACGGAAATACCCTGGGTGGGATGCGGTACCCTGAGGAGGAATTCTGGGAAAAGCTCATGCTGCCACCACCTGTTTAGGAAAATCAACATTCTAATGTAGCTGGTGAGGCTGGAGTCTCATAGCTGCTGGTTGGATGTGGTTTTCAGCTGGTCCTACAGGTACACACAGCAGTTCACACTTCTCACATGGCAGCAAGTGTGAGAAGCACCCATCCATGCTGGCTAACAGCACCATTTCTGGGACAAATTACCCATCATTACCTAGGACAGTGGTTCTCAAAGGATGAGAGGTCGCGAGACACTAGTGAAGGGGCACGAGATGATTTCTACAATATGTGAATAAAACTTAAAACTGTTAAAAATAGTGGTGGGAATTGACAGACAGCTCCAGGTTTGATATTACATTGATATTTGTTTGCTGATTCAATATGCATTATGATTTTGAATTAGTTTTTGTTGAAGGGCATTTCAGGTCTAAATTAAAATTCAAGACAAGGCCTGTAACAGTTCACGTATCCGTCATGTGCCATTGACATGCTTCATTTTCAGTTCGGTCGGCACAATTAAAGGAATGAATACATTTCTTGACACAGAAGGAACCTAAATTCACAAGCAGATGTTTAACACTGAAAACATTATATTAATCATGGTTGCAAGCTAGATATGGCTAGTGTTGGAGAGCTCAAGCACACAGATGAGGGCTGGAGACCCCTCCCATATCACTTAAATCAGCAGTTTGGGAGCATTTTGGTTCCCAATAAATTTCACCAACACCAGAGAACAAGACTGTCTGTCCGCTCTGTCATACCAAACTTAAATATGTCTCTAGAAACACATCCAGCATGGTAAGTCATTTGAGATGACATTATCCCTGCTAACAATTCTTTATTCTAGGAATGTTTACTGAATGTTAGGATTAAGGTATGGAAAGTATACAGTATTCCTGATATTCCCAGAACATTATATTACATACACTACAACTAAGAACAACAATGCACATAATGATGTGCATTACCTCATTCTTTCAGTCACTACCCAAAGCTTGTGATGGTAAGGGTAGGAACATACTGTAGATCGACTGGCAAATCGAAAGCTTTGCCTTCCAATTCAGCTTTCTCTGCACCACAACAGAATGGTACAGTGTCCACATTAATGCCGACACTACAGCGATCCACCTGTCAATCTCCCGCTCCCTTCTCCCCTCATTTTTGAACAAGACCCCAAGACAGTTAAACTCCTCTGCTTGAGGCAGTAACTCATCCCCCTACCAGGAGAGGGCAATCCACACTCTTCCAGTGGAGAACCATGGCCTCAGACTGGAAGGTGCTGATCCTGCTGAATCCCTGAATTGTGCTGATCCTGCTGAATCCTACTGAATCCCATTGAATCCCTGCTGCTTGACGCTCAGCTGCAAACTGCCGCAGTGCACACTGCAGGTCACAGTCTAATGATGCTAATGGAACCACAAAAGCAAAGACGCAATCCTGAGGTCACTGAACCGGAACCCTCCCCACCCCTTGGTTAACGAGTCTGACTTACTTCTGGTGATGCAAACCAAACTCTCGCTCCATTTATACAGGGACCTGATGCCCCTCAAGACAGGACCTCGTACCCTATACTCCTGAAGCACCCCCCACAGGACCCTCTGTGGAACACGATTGTATGCCTTTTCCAAGTCCACAAAACACAGGTAGACTGGTTGGGCATACTCCCATAGACCCTCCAGTATCATTGTGAGCAGTGTGCGAAATACGGGGGGGTCCGGCACCCCCCGATTAACCCATGAGAAAGCCTCAAAAGAAAAATTTTAAGGGGGTCTCGAGAACGGTATTGCGCAACAATACGGAGATGGGGACCCCCCCGAATATTGACGGGTATTTCGCACACTGCTTGTGAGGGTAAAGAGTTGGTCCATGTGTTCCATGGCCACGACATAATCCGCGTTGTTCCTTCTGAATCCGAGGTTCAACCAATGGGTAGACCCTCCTTTCCGATACCCCGGCATACACATTTCCAGGGAACACATCCTCTGGCCCCTTTTGTTACAGTTTAGGACTACCACCCCAATCTGCTAATCCAAAGGTACTATTCCCAACTTCCTTGTGATGTTGAGAAGTGTGTCAGCCAAGGCAGACAAACAACATCAAGAGTTTTCAAGAACTCAGAGCGAATCTCATCCACCCCTGGAGCCTTACCACCAAGATTTTTCTGACTACTTCAGTGACCTCAACCCCCATGATGGGTAAGTCTTCCCCTGAGTCTTCCAGCTCTACTTCCACTGGAAGGTGTATCAGTGGGTTTCAGGAGGTCCTTGAAATACTCCTTCCACCGTCTGACTATATCCCCATTTGAGGTAATCAGTTCTCCATCCCTTCTGTGTCACCTGACAGTTTGTCAGAATCTTTTTCAGGCCGACCGAAAGTCCTTGTCCATGGCCTCACCAAAGTCCTCCCATACCCTAGTTTCTGCTCCAGCAATTGCTTAGCCTGCCAGCACCTGTCAGCTGCTTCCATAATCCCAAAAGCTAACCAAGCCCTGAAGGCATCCTTCTGCAGACTGACAGCTCCCTTTTCCGCTGGTGTCCACCACCGGGTTTGAGCATTGCTGCCACAACAGGCACCAACAACATTATGGCCACAACTCCGCAGTGCCACCTCAGCAATGGAGTCCTGGAACATGGCGCATTCAAGCTCAGTGTCACCTGGAACCTTCGGGAGAGAAGAGAACTTCTGCTGTCGGTACAAGCTGAAGAGCTCCTGGGCAGGGGTCCCCGCCAGACGATCTCAGCACACCCTCACTATTTGTTTGGGTCTACCAGGTCTATCCAGCCATCTACCCCCGCCATTGGATCCAACTCACCACTAGGTGGTGATCAGTTGACAGCTCAGCTTCACCTGAGTGTCCAAAACATGCGGACACAGATTTGACAATATGATTACAAAATCGATCATCGGAATGTGGCCTAGGGTGCTCTGGTACCAGGTGCACTTATGAAAACCCTGAAATGACTGGATTTGAAATCTCTTAGCAGTTATTTGCCTGCAACAACCAGATAGGTTGGATAGAATAAAAGTTTGGGGTGAGGTGAGGATTTAGCCTAAAACGTGAGATAAACCGCACGTGGGAGGGGGACAGCGCTGAAATGCCATTTCGGAGGCAGTGCGGCACTGTGAGGATTTCTGCTTTCAGTCTTTGTTCTGCTTTCTATTAATACCCTTCATGTTCTTAAGAGGGCAAGTAAAGAGATAGCAGGGGAATTACTTTGGTATTTGTTTTCATATTGCACTTATTTTAGGAGATAGTATAATTGCCTTTGTAAAACCCAGTCATAAGGAAATTTGTCACAATTTTTTGCTGTAGTTTTTTCCACCACAGACACACGTGTGGTATTTAGATGGGGCAAGACAGCATGAGCAATTCACGGGTTGGATGTGTGAACGAAAGGGCGAGTTCATGGGTGGAGCGCTCTCACCATCAAATGTCATT